TTAGTTTTAAGTGGGATGGGCTCCTTTGGGATGAAGTTGTAGGTAGCTGATGAATTTAGTACTTGAGCTGGCTCGGCGAGGTTAGCTAAAGCTGGTTGGGGTGATAAGAAGTAATTTTCATGATTACACGGGCTTGTAATGATATCCGCATGGATACCGGTGACTCTTCCCTAGAACAATGCACAGCTAATATGCTGCGGTTGACATGCTCAGTGTTCACGTCCATTACATCTCATTTCCTCTGGCTTTATGATCCCATATGACCCGTTTTCGCACGAGTGATTGGGATTGGTCTCTGTATCGTCGTTTCTATTGACTTTGATCGTCACCAACTTCGTCTCTGATCCTGACGTCAATCGTCACGTTACTCTGCATGACGTCACGTCAGCGCCGTCACTGTCGTTATGTCCGTCACTGCTTTCACTGCTGGTTACTTCCACCATTTGCCGGCTAGTTCCACTGTCGCGACTGGACGTCTCATGAGACGTCCATGAGGGAGGTGGCGTTCGCCCGTGCCTGGTAGTTGGTGTGGGGAGTTAGTGTCTGTCTGGACTGAAGTTAGAGGCTAAGTTGTGAGGCAGACATTGGGGAGAAGAGGGAGTCTAATGCTTTGCGGACCAGTGCAGGGGCTCACTGCAACTGCAACTCGACTGGTGTTGACGGGCAAGATGCAGGCTCTGTAGAGGGAGGAGAGAGAGAGAGAGAGAGAGAGAGAGAGAGAGAGAGAGAGAGAGAGAGAGAGAGAGAGAGAGAGAGAGAGAGAGAGAGAGAGAGAGAGAGACTCGGTGCTGTGTGGAGCTCCCTGGATCACAGAGCTCTCAGGATTCCGAGTGCTCTCTGTTTGTGGTAAATACGGGTACGGGACGGGCGGCGTGTGCTGAGTGGCGGTCGTGTGAGAACCAGAAGACTGGTGCTCAGGGAAGATCGATAGCAGCGGCGAGGAATACCGGTAGGTAGGTGGGGAGGGGGGAGGGTGGATGGTATCCTTGGTGACATTGGTGAGCTTTGGTGACGCTTCGTGGCGCTGGTCAACAGGGTAAATATGGTGACTTTGTGGCTCTGCCTTTTGTTTTTACGCCTTAGATACTCTGATCTGATTATCTACTCGCACTTCATTTTCCGTCGGCGATTGTGCCTTGTGGTAGTTTGAAGAAACTGAAGCCGAAGTTAGGTATGTGATTTTTGGACTGGTTTGACTTACAGCACGGCGCGGCGTTTGGAGTCCTTCCGATGCCAAAAGTGAAGGTATCGCGTGGATTATGATCGTTTGATCTTGATCATATGCGATTAGATCGTGAGAGATCTGCGGTGACCGCCGACTGCAACCCGCAGTGACCTATTGCAACATACCTACTCACTGATATTATCTATCATGACCTGCCGTGGCCTCTCCACCATGTGACGTCACTATAAACCACATGACATCATTATCACATGACGTCACACAACATCACGGCGATATTACCTCGTCCGACCTCCGCCAGTGAAAGCGACAACTACGCCAGCTCGCCGCCGCTACCCTAGTTCACATTTCAGAGGCCATTTTCCGAATTGTTTCGTACGTCGCTTGGCTCGGGTTTCGCTCCATCTAGCCACGAGTTAGTGATGAACTTTCGCCCGTGCTGGCGGTATTGGTCGCGAGCCGAGGCCCGGAGGCGGGATGGGGCGGTGGGATATGAAGGCGATGCCGTGCCATAGTCAGGGGGGGGGGGTGTTGGGAGGGGGCTATTTCCTCTAATGTGGGTCTGAGGCTGGTGTGTCCAAAAGTGGCGAAGACGAGTGGGCTGGACCGGCCAATGTTAACTACTTAGCTGTTTGTTACGAGACTGAGCCATTGACATTGTCAATAAACTGACAATGGTGAGTTGGCTTGACGACTCATAGATTTATCTTTTGTATTTAATCATATCATCAAAGCCAACCAAAATAGTTAAAAGGTATTTACCCTCGGTGGGTGGCGGCATGGTTAGTCAGCTGGGTATATCACTTTCAAGTTTTATTACTGCGTGGACGCAAATTGATTTGCCCTGTCGGCGCGTACTAAAGCCTCAGCACAAAACTTCCGATGCTATCCTGTGTCAAGTATCGCACCGCTCATTTGTATGCATACCGCATACCTGCATGTTGACTCACGGGCTGGACCGGTCGGCACAATGACCTTATTGACTCTGCGACTGATGACGTCACTGGGTCGCGGCCAATCAGCTCAGAGATACGACTCCATTGACGTCACCGATCCGGGGCCTATCAGCGCTGTGACATTTCTCGAGTGACGTCATCGGTGCTGTGATTGACTGGTCGTGTTGGTAACGTCCGTCAACCAGCCAGAATGCGACTCACTCGTTACCATGGAGATATGTCAACAGACTGGCTCAGTCGGACAGCTACATGCCGTGTAGGTATTAGATAATGGACGTGGATGAGCCTTTGGCAGAGGATGCAAACTGCAAAGCATTAGGAAAGAGGATGTGCGTTTGTGTTGAGGTCCGTTGGTTTTGGTGTTGATCAGAGAAATGGACCATGAGTTGGTATCAATTGCTTCGGGCTTATTGGAGTCTTTTTCGGTTAGGCGCTGGAAGGAACGGTTGATCGCGAATCAAGACGACCACGCTTTGCCTTTGGTGACCGCTGTGGCTACATTGGTGTGCTCAAGATTCCTTTAGGTACTACTCGGTGTGCTGAGCTCGCCTCTGGGAGTTACTGATTTCCGTAGAGGTACCGGATGCGTGGCCTTTCGATTACAGATCTTTTTCTGTATGAATGACAGGTGATGGTCAAGAGAAATGGCAGAGAATCTGGAGTTTCTGAAGATATAGGGTTTAGGGTTAGGTATCTGTTATCCCGAACCGGACCGTCTATCACAATCAGTAGACGTTCCTAGATCAGCCGGCAGGTGGCTCTGATGTTTGCGTATCCCGCCGATAGATGTCAGGGCGGTAGACCCAAATAGCATACCCAGCCGTGACCCAGCCCAGGTTCTAGTCAGCGTGAGCTCTAAACACTGAACTGAACTGGGCAGTGAGCCATGAAAGATCGTTTGTGCGTCCGGCCTGCGCCACAGGATGTTCGCCTGTGTCTGTCGGATGGCCTTTGAAGAAGTAGTGTTGACTATTTCAGGGCAGCGAAGGCCAAAGAGTTGTGTAGAGCTGGAAATGTTTTGTTTCCCAGGGGAATTGTATGGGCTGTGACAGCGGCTGTCAAAAGTTGGAGACAAATTGTCTGAGGGCTTTGTTTGGCACGTCAGTTTCTGGTAACTGGGGACGGATTTCCAGCGAAGTGAACTCGGTTTAATGCATTAGACTAATTCGCTGAATTGTGATCCTACGACTGCTGTGTTCGTATTTTCCCTTCAGGTTTCCAGTTTCTTTTAAGTATTTTATTTTAGTGTTTTGAAATTTGTTTCAAGACCTGTGTTTAAGTTGGTGTAATTAAGGTGGAATCGTTTGGAGAGAAGTTCCGTAATACCGAAAGCTCATCGGTCCATGATCCCAGACCAGTGACTACTGACCCGTTACTGTTCAATAATCGTGAACGGGGCTCACTGACCGCTCTGAACACTGACCAATGGCCACTATAGCCAGCCTGAAGGCCGTTTGACCACTGACCCTTTGACCACTTACCACTGATCACTAGCCAAATAGCCACTAATCGCCAGCCCTCGGACCGTTTCCGTCCCGTTACAATCAGTGGCGTGGCTCTCAGTCACGCTTCATCTCACCTCACCGGCCCGTCGTACACCGGTCAGTACCTACAGTTACACAGCTGGTCACCCCTGGCTGGGTCACCGTCCCATCGTTTTCATCCTCAGGACATTCAAATCTTTCTCCTTCACGCCTCTTTCCCCTGCTCCGGGCTGGACGGGCAACTTTTTCCCATGCGGGATTGCTCGTAAGAAGCACGCCCGTATAGCCGGGTGCGGTGAGTGCTTGAGAGGGCTGGTCGGCCTATCTATTGGGACGGGCTCAGCCCCGGCGACTCACTAGGGTGCCTGCCCAGACCACTGTCTTCCCCTAATTCCTATCATCCTCCCGGCTCTGAAATGGTGTCGTCAGACCGAAAGGAGCTAACTAACAAAACAAACAAACAAACAGACAAACAAACCTGGCGGGGCACGGCTCATAGGGGCTGCTGAGTGGGACTGGCAGGAACGCAGGTCAAAGGTCGCATCTGGGCAAGCATTCCGGGAATCTTACGATAGCGAAACGCGTGCTTTTTACCAATGCTGTTTAATTTTGACTTGGCGAAATCACTCACGGTAATTCGTCTCATCCAAATTCAGAGGTATGCCATTGAAAGGACTGCTCATAGGCGCCAGAGAGTACTGCGATCCGGGAATAGTGCGATCCGGGCGCACAAAAATCCAGAGTTGTCATAAACATTTGTGAGAACAGGTTGATCTGACACCCCACCGGCTCTTTCGACTTTCTGGCTAGCTGACGTTAAACCACCTCACCAGTACACCTTTATTTGATATCGTTCCACGCAGACTAACTCACCTGGTTCCCCTACCAGCCCGTATGCTGGAGTGTGGAGTAGCCCAGGGGTGGAGATCTGTCAAAATTTCAGCGGGGGTCCAGGCCGGGCAGATGGAGGCGGGCTGGATGCAGTACCATTGACTTACATAGCAGTAATTCGTTTTCAGGGGGTCCTGAGTCCTGACCCCCCCCCCCCCCCGACCCCCCCCCCCCTCCCGTGATCTCCACCTCTGGAGTAGCCAGCCGCCCGGCTGACCCACCGCCTGGTCAAACAGCCGACACGCCTTCTTGAGCACGCTCCTCTCCTTATAAACACTCCCCAGTCGTGTTCCGGGTATTATGTCGTACATCTCTCTAATTACCGTGCAGGCTGCCGTGGTTAATGAGCCGTTCTCCGGTGCAACTTGTGCCACTAGCTTCACCTGCGCAGCCGCAGTCGCCCGGTGCTGTTTCGCCGTCCTGTGTTGTTTTGCCGTTCGGCCGCGTGGTGGCAGCACTGTCGCCGTCTGGGTGCTGAGGCGCGGTGGGTCGGGAGGTTGTGGTGTGGAGAAACGGCAGGTGCCAGTTGGTGTCTGGTGTGGGCTGGGAGAGGCGCCGGTGGTGATTGTTGTGCTGGTGACGTTTGGTGACGGATGGTGCGGATTGCTGCGGATTGGTGACGTTTGGTGAGACGGAGTGGTGACGTTGGACGTTGGTTGAAAGACATTGACGTTGGTGACACTGGTGCAGACAAGCGGGCGTAGCTGCTGTTATTGGTGGTGCTGAGGATCGAATATCCGCTGCAGACGTTGGTGCAGATAATTCATTCTGCCTCTTGGTGTAGCTGGTGACCTAAAATTGCCGAGTGGTGATCTGACTGGGGTAGAATCTCGTTGTGAAGGCTGGAAAGTGACCAACAATCCATCGGTTCACGGCGGTATGCAATAATGTAACTGGATACTCCTCGCATAAAGCCGAAACTTGCATCGGAGGATTGAAAGAAAAGTGTAAGACCACGCCCACAATTTGAGCCAGCTAGCTCACCGCTGCTGCCTTAGTGAGGCGCTGTGACCTCTGTGAGGGTGTGACCTCAGGTCAGAAGACTACGAGCGAGCGGGACAGGCGGCAATGGTGGCAGTGGCACCCAGAGAAGGACGAGAGACGTGAGTTCAACCGCGTGGACAGGGGGGGGGGACGGTGTTGCTGGGTTTGTGAGAGCTCAGGGCTTGGCCGGAGAGTTTCTACTTTCGGGGGTAGGAGGGGGAGGTGGGAATGATATGTTTAATGTAGGGACGATGATTTAGATGGATTTGGAACTGGTGCTTTTGATTCTCCATGCTTTCGACTCCTTGTTTTGTGGTGGAGGGTTGTCTGTGATTGGTTGTTGAGTTTCGGCGAAGTTGAGCAGTAGTGCCCTGGTAGGTGTTTTTAAACCTGCCTGCGCGAGCCTGATGTAAGGTCATTGATAGGGACGAAATGGATATATTGGTCATGACGCGGCCATGCATGATGCATGCGGTGTTGGGTGAATAGGAAATGTGTGACCTTAGCGCCTTGCAGGCTATTGAACCAGGCAAGGTGAATGTTTGGTTGGATTTGGGGTGGAGTTTCTCGACGTGTAGGCTTTTCTATGATGTACAATGCTATGTATGAATGTATACTCCCTTGACATATGCCCTGCATTGTGGGCAATCCATTGCGACTCGCGATGTGATGCCATTTTAACATTTCATCCTTGTAGTGAAATTGATTCTCACAGATGCACTGATCAGCAATCCAACATCACACTATCTACTCTACATAGATCCATAGCCTCGGGCGTCTCACACGTTCCTTCCACCTACACACAAACAAGCATTCACCTGGCCCTCCATCGCTCTCCCTCGCGTGTATGAAGCTATCCCTCACTCCAGGACGACGTTCAACACCGGTTGATTCCCACGTCTTTCTCTGCGGACTTCCTGTCTGAATCATAGATTTCCGAACGCGGCAGGGAGCCTTGGAGACTCATCACGGCTGAAGCCGGTCGCAGAGGGGTGATTCAAATGGTGGTCAGATGATTTATGACGTCATTCTGAAATTTATGACGTCGTTTGTTCTAAGAGATGTCGGTGGCAATTGAATTGCAGATGGTCTGACCGGGCACTAAAGGTTCGACTAATGTGTCTCTTGGGAGCGTTTGAACCTTTTCTGAAAAATTTGAAGCCAGCGTATGCTGGCAACTGGCAACAGTAGGTATGACCATTGCACTGCAGTCAGACGGTTTTGAACAGAGTTTGATGTCATGTGCATATTGCCTACCTATGAATATATTTGTAGATGCTTAGTTATTGAAGAAATATCTAATCGAAGGATATTGCATATTGGATCGAAGATTGAGTTGATGATAGCGAAGATGGTAAATCAAGGATTCATGAGTTGCACAAACTGCATTGATCATTCCACAAAGATTAATTTTGTACCTAATCCTAGTCAAAAGCACGAATTATATCGGCACCTTTAAACATTGTTTCTCAAGATGAGACCGAGCCCAGCCGTGACCACGTGTTCTTTGGTTCTCCCGTCAATGAACAGACTGTTCACGTGTGGACCGTGAGCAGCTGATACCCAATTAGTGACCGTTTGCGGTCTGTACACCTGCTGTCGTGAACAGCTGCTGTGTTCAGCGGATGGTCAGTAGATCGTACAAATCATCGACTGCCGGATGTTGGGAGGTGGTGTGTCGTGTAACTCCTATCGGTTTCTTGTGGGATGTGGTCATAGGTGTAGCAACGTATCTCTTTGGTGAAGGATACCTTTCACCAAAGTTTCCGATTGGTGAAGGATCCTTCACCAATCTTGGACAATGCAAGGGAGGGTCTTCACCTACCTATGCTTAGAACTGCTGGATTCGACGGTTGATCAAATGTCTGTCTTTTAACCCGCGCCCGGCTGGGGGTCCTGGATTTCCACGCCCTGCGGGGGGGGGGGGGTGTTTGAACACCCCCCCCCTTCTAACTCGGCTCCTGGGCCACGTAGCGATACGCAGAAGGCGGCGTTCGAAAGAACGCCAAAAATAATGACGAAATCACTTCGGTCACTTTTTTGGTCAGGTCAAAGGTCAGGTCACCAGAAGTCATTGAAGGCAAAATTTCGCCGATTTCCAGGTCGAATGTCGACAATTTCCAAGAAACCAACGCATAGCTCGGGAACCAATAGAGCTACAGCGCCACGGAAAAGCGCATTCGATAGCCCTATTAACGCCCTTTCTGAGTAATTCTCTCAGATTTGACCTAACGTCAACGGTTTTGCCTGCAGGGGGCAAAAACTGCAAAAATAGCCGATTTTTTCGGAAAGTTTTTTTTTTCTGCAATAACTTTTGACCCAAGCCTTGTACGAGCTTACTTTTACCGGCATCGAGTTCCTCTCGTCAAGACGCATCGAATGAACTATAACTTACCTTGAAAGGTCAACTTGAAATTTGACCTCAGGTCAAGGTCATGACCTGACCGGACATTGTCATGTTGCATATTAGTGGATCTGTATCGTCGAGCTGAACATATATAAGGCGTTTTCATCGCTCTAGCATGCCTCTTTCAAAAGTTAGTCGCAAAAAAACTGTTAGATACCATTCGTGACCTGAGATGACCTTAGGGGCATAAACAGGGGTCACGGGTGCCGTTTTCATGTTCAGTGTGTCAAAGTTACTTGTAATTTAGTGTTTGAGAGTGTTTAGAATGACTTTTGTCCGAAAAAGACTGTTTTGAATTTTCTCCCATTGACTTATAATCCCTAGAGAGGTCGCAAAATTGACCCGACCTTAGGTCACCGATATGAAAATTCCGAATTTTGTACATACTGTTGCACTTATCAATTGCTGAAAGCTTCAAAGCGATCCGTCACTTGGTGTAGCTATGGCATACATTGAAACATTTTATGATGTGTTTATGAAGTGAGGTCACTTGTAGCGACCTGGTGACCTGACCTTGAAGGACCCTGGTCTGAAATTTTCACAACATGTATAAAATTGATAGATGATAAGGTGCCGCCGTTTTTCAGATATCCGCGAAAACCGCAGGGGGTGTTCAAAACCCCCCCCCCCCTCCCAGCAGGGCGCGGGTTAACACACTTTGACCATTTGCCCCAGTAGTCAAAATTCCTTAGCCGAGGCCCTGATTTACATCTTGCTGTCATGGCAAGATGCACAATTCAGTTTTAGGTAGGCACTGAAAATTTGACGTTAATGGGATGATAAGGGCGTAAGATATCTGCAAAAAACAAGGGGTTGGCGAAATTCGCCCCCCCCCCCGCTTGCACTGTGCGTGTTGGTTGGCACGGTCCTGTCCCTTTTCATAAGGTTCAGGTGGCATCCTTCACCAATATTTTTGGCGCTCCTACACCCATGGATGTGGTAGATGCGAAATGCTGAGCGGAGCATGTCTTTTGATAATTGCTCACTAGTTTTGCGATTTTTTCGCAGTAAAAGCATGTTATTTCTAAGTGGCTTCTTAGTATATTCCATGATGTAATTAAACGATGATTCTACATTACTTGGACAACTTCGACAACGCGAAACTGACTGAAATGCAAGCAAGCGACCAGTCTGAACTAAATCTATCTGCAATTAGCTTACCGCTTTATCACCGATGAAGGAACACGTAATGGAGGGGACTAATTATCACGAGAATTGCGCCGACCTACGCGGCACCTAATTGTGAATACCGTCCGTGACGAGTGCTCGCGTCGCTAGGTGACGGTACGTGACGGGATGACGAGGACAAACGTGACGGTATGAGTGTGACGGTGGTGTAACGGACGGTGTCGCGTGGCGCCCAAATTGCAGGGTTGGGTGTCACCGGGGTGCAGTGACACAGCTGATTGAGGTGTTTGGCTCTTGGAGATAGCGAGAAGACAATTGATCTTGAACTTGAATGTGTGGGGAACAGATGTGTATTCCAAAGGCAATCGAGGATGCATAGTTCTGATTATTGGGAGCGTGTAAGGAATCGTAGAATCATTGAGCTTATTTCGCACTGGTAGCAAGGACGCACTTCTTGGGATCCCAAATCTCCAACTAGAGTCTGAGCCTCCTGAATCCCGCCCCAGCGGCGGCGGCGGCGGCGGCGGCGGCGCAGGACCGCTGGTTCCGTGGCGGCGGCAGGGGTCGGTCACCCCCGTTCCGCTTGAGCGCGCTCCTCCGTCCGTCGTACCACAGCCTCCACCGAGGCTAGCGTCCCGCAGAGCGGCCTCCTCTGCTGACGACTCTAGCTCTGCCGTGGCGAGTGTGGTATGGCCGGTCATGCGTGGTGTCTTGGAGCTGGCCAATACTGGTAATGAATTGGTGATGTTAGGTATCTAAATGCGGTGGGGTCCGTGGGATGGATTGGTGTTCTTTGGTGCGTATTTTTTCTCAGATGAGGTTAGATATGACTTCTGTCCTGTGGCCTGGCTCTATTTTATACGATTTGTTTTCCGTAGCATCATTGCTAATCTTTATTTCCTTTACCTTTTCTTGTATTTTTGTCTTATTTCTTTCCCGATTCTCACCATCCTCGTTTTCAAATTCCAAAGCCGTGTTTCCATCGCCTCGCCAGCCGTTTTGTATTGCCGCTCCGGTCCGCTGAACTCTCCCCGCGTTAAGCTGTGCAGCTGTGCACACGGCTCTGACCTTTGGTTCCGGGTCACACCTCGGCGAGTCGGCGTGACCTCACCACACGAGCCTGATTACGCTCTCTCTCTCTCTCTCTCTCTCTCTCTCTCTCTCTCTCTCTCTCTCTCTCTCTCTCTCTCTCTCTCTCTCTCTCTCTCTCTCTCTCTCTCTCTCTCTCTCTCTCTCTCTCTCTCTCTCTCTCTCTCTCTCTCGCTCTCTCTCTCCCCCCCCTCTCTCTCTCTCTCTCTCTCTCTCTCTCTCTCTCTCTCTCTCTCTCTTCAACTAGCCCTCTACTTTGATGTTTTTTGCACTCTTCCTTATTTGTTTCCCAAACGACATCCCTTCTGTGAGCGTCAACATTGTCACTAACTTACCTATTAAACCAACTTAGTTCCACCCAAGATTACTTTACTACTCAGGTTGGTTCACTAGGGAAATAAAGGCGCCGTAGCTACGTCACGGATTTGGTAGCAATCTGGTAGCAATTTTTGCTGACATCAATGGCGCGCGTGTTGTTTGATCGTCACCAATCCT